ATTACATTCTATCAGCTTACTCTGTCTTTGATTCTAATACACATGAAGCTCAGAAAATGCCATTACATGGCCACATCTCCAAGATATTTCTTAATCATACTGTATTATGTAAAGATTTATCTACAGCATATGGATGGCTTTGATTTTGCATCTCTGACTTCTAAGCAACTGCCAATTGCTTTAAGAGACTTTCTTTTTAATAGTTTGAGGTGTTTCCTCCTTTCCCCAAACTGAGTAACTAACACACTTATAAAAAACCTTAGAACAAGATTGGAGGATTTGAGGGCAACTGAAGAGAATTCTTTTTTTTTTTTTTTTTTGCTGTAGTTGAAATATACAAATTATCCTTTTTTGTTCTTCATTTTAGGTCACATGTAATTGTGTGTTGGAATCTATATGAACTTTGGTTTTTTTTTGGTGGTGCTGAGAGTTGAACTCAGGGCCTTGGGTTTGCTAGGTAGGCCTTCTACCACTTGAGCCACATCCCCAGCCCTTATATGAACTTCTGAATCATATATACAATCATGCATCACTTAGCAGAATATGTTTTAAGAAATAATAGGCAAATTTTTTATTATGTAAACATCAGTGTGCTTACACGAAGCTAGATGGTATAGCCTACTACAAAACGAGGTTGTGTGATGTGTTTTATGCACACACTATACGTATTGCTCCACTGCTTTCTGTTGCTGTTTTTAAGTATGCCGTGCTATAATAACCGTGTGCTACACTTTCATGTGACTGGTAATGCAGTAGATTGGTGTACGCCAGCATCACCATAATCCGTGTGAGTAATGGAGAGTACTAAGACATGACATTAGCTAGGGTGTCATTGGGTGATGGCAATTTTTCAGTTGCATTATTCTCTCTCGCACTTGTCAGGTAAGCGCTCCATCACTCGAGCTACAGCATCCCCAGCCTTTTTGCTTGAGTTTATTTTTCTAGGTAGCATCTCATGCTTTTTGCCCAGGACCAGCCTCAGACTTTGATCTTCTCACCTCTGCTTCCCAAGTAGCTGAGAGCACAAGTGTGTACCACCATACCCAGACTATTTGTTAAGGTGGGGTCTCAATAACTTTTTGTCTGGGCTGGCCTGAACCATGATCCTCCTGTCTCTGCACCTCCCAAGTACCTGAAATTGTAGACATGATCCACTATGCTCAGCCCTTCCATTGTAAGGACCACCATCATGTTCATTGACCTAGACATTATTATCCAGAGGACTGTTCATGCAGAGAAAAAGGTTTCATTGAAGTTAAAGGTAAGATATTTACCATAAGGTGCACACGAGTATTTTGCTTCTCCTCAGTGTGGAGTGACAGGCACACTGCAGCCTGTGAGTAGTCCACCTATAGTAAAAATGAATGAGGAGTTCTTGCAGCACTGGCTGGCCCACTGTTTCTCTCGACCTTTATCTTCCTAGTATTTTCAGTCTCCCATTCCTTTTTTCCTGTCATCTTAGTTTTTGCTTTTTATTGCCTACTTCTGCCAGTGACACCTAAGAGAACTGCCTGAGTTGATTTGTTCAGCAGCTATTTATTGAACTTCTGCAATATGATGAGGCATTGTTATAGGCACGAGTGAGCTGCCCTAGCCTCAAAGAACTAGTAACCAAAACAAATAGAACCAGTTAGATTCATGCTATTTAGAAAGTGCTCCACACTTTTAAGTCATCTGTGAGTACAGTTTAAGAATTCTACCTGAATGACAGCATATTTCCCTTGCAATTATTGGCACATGAAATATCTCATGGTATTTGAAGTTTTGTGCCTTTAACTCTCATGTTGCATCTATTTTACCTTTTTGTAATTATAGTGGCACTATTTTGTTTTTTTTTTTTTTTCAGTACTGGGATTTGAACTCTGGGCCTTGGGCTTTCTAAGCAGGTGCTCTGTACAAATTATTTTTAAATGGCTATGTGTTACTCTCTTGTATTTGCATTTATGTTAAATGCTTTAGTGATACCTTCATACATGTATCTTTATGAGTCCACTGAGATACAAGTCCCAGAAGTGGAATTACTGAGTGAAAGGGTTATGGATATCATTGTGGCTCTTGCTCCATACTGTTTTCCAGAAACCTTGTACCAACTAAGCAGCAGTGATAAAGGAGTGTACAAGTGGCGCCACCACCTTAATCCTACTTTAGGGCTAACATTTGTTAGCATATTAAAATTGCTTATTTGCGTTTCTTTGGTCATCATCACCAATTACATTTTACTTCAGGGTTTGAAGCGTTAGTGTTGCTTTGCTGAATCCATTCTCTTTTATAAACAAAGATAGTGTTCTAGATGTTTACTACTGGGAACTTGATGGCATAAATCTGTTCTTCTTAAATAAGTAGTACTAGTTTTCTTACTTAGCTTTTATTCTGTTTCCAAGCCATGCTTCATAATGCTGCTGCGTGATCCTTCTAAAATGAACTCTAATTCCTGTGCAGTCTCTCCTTCATTTAAAGCCTCTTAACGAAAAAATTTCTAACTTTTTAGTGTGTTTTGGATATTTTAGGATCTTATTCCTTACCCATGGTTCTAACCATGCCTTTTCTCCTTTCATTCAGCTTCAGTTTGCATGTACTCTGAACCTCTTTCTATTAGGTAGGTCACTAGTAATACGCTGAATGTTAATTACACATCTTCCTTCCCTATTAGGCCCTGCGAGTTCCTCGATGCAGGACTAGGTCTGTGTCCTCACTGGCATCTGTGTTCAACAAAATATGAGCAATATTTTAAACTTGTAATATTTATATTGGTAATTAAAAGAGTGAAACTGCATCTTACTGAATAGGTGTAGTACTAGCTATGTGATCTTAACACTGCCAGTCTGCTTCTCTATTAAGAAGGGCATAATACCAGCTGGGCACTGCTGGCTCGTGCCTGTAATCCTAGCTACTTGGGAAGCTGAGATTGGGAGGATCATGATTTAAGGCCAGCTGAGGCAAACAGTTTGAGACACCTCACTCCAGAGCAAAATGGACTAGAGGTGTGACTCAAGCTGTAGAGTGCCTGCTTTTCAAGTGTGAAGCCCTTTTTTCTGTTGGGTATTTTTGAGATAGGGTCTCTTGAACTCTTTGCCCAGGTTGGGCTTGGAACCATGATCCTCCTAGGAATCTCTTCCTCCCAAGTAGCTAGAATTATAGGTGAGCGCCACTGGCACCTGGCTGTACTTGAAAATTTTATGTCCTAGTTGTACCTTGAACAAATCCTTTATTGTATCTTTTTAAATGTATCTGTACTACAGGGTTGGCCCCTCATTAGATGGTTGGGTGAACTGAGTCTGGAGAAAACTTTATCTTTAGCAATAGTGTGATTGATTAGTTTTACAGGATATTATATTCTTTCTGTGTAAGTTTGAATTGGGGTGTGGGGCAGGAAGTAGAACCAGATAGCTCTGTAGGATGCATAAGACATCTTCAATATCATAAGAAGCAGGTCGTCTTATTAGCAGATATATGAAGAATCTTTTCTGTACCCAGCATCTGAATAGCTGCAGAGCTGGTACAGTAATTTTTATCTTCATAGAACTCTTATTATAATTTGGGCAGAAGAGTAACCTGAAATACTCAGCATTACAAGACAATGGAGGAAGCATATGTTTAGAGGTATATGCATTCCTGTTTTATAGATTTCTTCGTGGGTTTTGTAGATTCCTCCATGGATGGCCATTGTATCATTTGGATGAAAAAGGCCTCAGTAAGTTGATCAGGAAGCCTTTCCCCCAACTCTGCTTTAGCAGTGACACTGAAGAATAGTTGGATAACAGGAGTGGAATCTAATTTCTTGAGCAACGTAATCTAGATTGTGTTCAGAAATTACAGCAGTCAGCATTTTGAAAAGTGTTACAGTCTTGAATTCACAGTTTACAGCCTCTGTAGAACTTTACCATGTCTGCCTTCTGTGTTGGGAATGGTTTTCTGTGTTACATTTTTACTATTTACACTTTTGTTTGTGTGTATATAATACTCAGGGTTCCGGTATTGACTTTGGGCATACATAAAACATGTACTGACATTGCTAATAACTGCGTTTAGTCTTCATAGGACTCTGAAATTAGGACCTCTTCATAATCTCCATTATACAATTGATGAAACTGGCATTTAAAGAAATTGTTTGGCAGAAGCAATACAGCTGGTGAGTGGTGGAGCTTAGACTTGAAGGCAGAGTATCTGAAACCACCATAGTATATGCCTCCCTAGAAAGAGCAGTTGTTTTCAGAGACTGTGTGTCAATTTTGAAAGACTTGAGTGTCAGTTATTTTGAGATTTTTGAGGGGGTAGCTTCAGGATTGTTAGAAATATATTCAGTGTGGAAGAGAAGCTCTGACAGGGAGCCAGTTTAATTTTTTCCACTAAATTTGAGAAAATGGTATCCAGTGAGATGCGTTCAGTTCCCACATCCAGTAAAAAACAAGACGGACAGGGGCTCAAGTGGTAGAAACCCTGCCTACCAAGTGTAAGGCCCTGAAATCAGGTGTAAGAACAACAGCAACAAAAAAACCAAACCCACCAGTCAGTTTCATATCACTAGTAATAAATGATAAATCATCTGAATGTTTTGCCTCTTCCTCTGCCTTAATCAGTATTAGTCCATTCTTTTCGAATTTAACTTTTTTTACCCCATTTTTGTTTGTGTTGTATGAATGGGGGAAGGGTGGCAGAAATGAACAAGTGGTGTTTACAAGAAAAAATAAAAACAAATTAGGCTTTGCTACATTTTCTAGAATGGAAATACAGAGCCTCCCAGACATGGGTTAAACAGATTTAAAGATTACCTTAGTGCTGCCTATAAAGCCATATTTTACCTTTCTTTCAACTTGGAATCATTGTAAGCATAACAGTTGAGCTATCTGAATTGAAAACTGAACTGTTTTCAACAGGATGCATTCAGCTTATTAGCATATTCAGATCCTTGGAACAGTCCAGTTGGAAATCAGCTCGACCCGATTCAGAGAGAACCTGTGTGTTCAGCTCTTAACAGTGCAATATTAGGTAAGTAAAGCCAAATGGCATAATTAACTATGCCATTCTCTTAATAGCTGAGAGAGTATTTGTTCTAACACTTATATGTTGATAAAATGTTCTTATATTTTAAAATATAAAATACAAAAACCTTCTTCCTTTGTCCCAAAAATAGATTATATGGGTTCTAATGGAACAAAACAGTAGATTGTAGGTTGCATCTTGGGATGTTTGGAAAATAGAAGTTCCTATATATGTGTGTGTAAGCACTTCTGGTAGCCACTAATGTCTGCTTCTCATTTAGAATGAAGTATTTAAATTCAAGACCTCCCTTCCAGCCTTCTTTAGTGAAAAGTATTTTCTGCCACTCATTTCTAGGCTGGGAATTAAGGGGCGGAGCTCTCCTAAATTGTCATTGGCTGGACCATAGCTCTTCTTCCAGTATTGGAGAGAAGGCTGTGGGCATGCTAGAAGATGGCCTATTGTTTGAGTGAGTAATCAGAGGCTGGGAGTTATAGAAGTGGTAAGAATCTGAATTTCATCCACTGAAAAGATAGAACTATAACTGAGGATGAGTAAGAGTTAACTTGTTAGCCCAGCTGGGAAACAAAAATATGAATTTGTGGTGTTAACCTTTATCTGTATATGAGTTCATCTGTTTAGATTGATCAGAACTGGGTTTTTGGCCTGACTGCTGTGGAGGAATTTGGGGATGTTAAGGAAAATAATTATAATAGTTGGTTCACAACAGAGTAAAGCTAAAAGGAAAAAGGAAACGAAGAGATCAGGAATGGAGTTTTTGGTAGAATGCAAATAAGGGAGTGAATGAACTTGAGTATCTGAGAAGAAGTCCAAATGTGCTCCAGTAGGTCAGGTTTCCTAGTTGGCATCCCACGTTTTGTCTTGAAGTGTTTCCAATGGGTAGGGTTATCCTGAGCCTCCATATTACAGCTGCCAGCAGTATCAAGGTACAGACCCAATGTGCTTGTAGGTGACTTCTAAGCACCCTGTTAGCGCCAATCCTTGGAGTCTAATTGTATTTGCATTTAACAAATTCAGCTGCATGTCCTTACCTAATAAAAAGGGTAAGAGAGAAGAAAAGCAGTTTAAGTGAGGAGGCTTAGCCCAGGGGTATACCTGAAGTAAGAAACTTGAATTTGCTCTTCTCCAAGTTGGTTTGTTTCTGTGAACTACCCACTGCAGTGTTTACATATCAGTATGTCCCAAATAACTCTTGTTACATGAATTCTGTAACTGCACATTTTTTGGATCTCTACATAAACTATAGAGTTGACTTTTGAGCAGTTCTCTTCAAAGGTAGTTTAGATAAGAGTGCTTTTGCATCTGACTTGAAAATCTAACTGAGTAAAATGAGAAAGACACCTATGCTATGCTGTTTGGCTCTGTTAGGTTTGTGGGTTTTTTTTTTTTAGAAAGACAAGGACATTGTTACAAAGAGTAATTTAGACATGGAGACTTGTAATGAGGACCAAAACGGATATGGTAAGAATGTAAAGGAAGCAACAAAAACTATTCTTTTTTAGCTTAGCATCTTTCTTTGCCTATATAAGGTTCATTAATTCACTGTTTATTAAGGACCAATATTGACATCTGGGACTAGGAGTAGTGTTGTGTTGTTTTCTTAAATTTGAAATTTGTGTCTTATACAAAATCCATTACATTCTTGGTTAAAAATGAAAGGATTTAGTGACAATGCTGCCATTCTAGGGAAATTACGGTTTACTACAGTTGTCTTTCCGAAGTTACTACACTTTAGGTAGTCATGAAGACCTAACTGCTAGCTAGGTAACACTCAAACTTGGAAAATTTTTTTTTCTACAATAGTCTTTTATTTAATTCAAATGAATTAAATTGTTGAATATTAAGACTGTTATCCAAGATATATGTATTTTTACATATTGTGCTGTTATGTAAGTTCAGCTATAATTAGTGCTTAATTTATGTTAAATGTGTAAGTCCTATAAAATTAGTGTCAAAATTATAAGATGCTATGACTGTATTTACAAACACTATGTCATATGTGACTATTTATAAGTAGTGTATAATGTATTAACTATAAATTTGATATGTTCAAAATTTCAAGAAGTGCTTAAAACCATATGCCTCCTTTAGCCAAAGATTATAATAATAAACCTCTGGTGCTTACCTTTCAGCAAGGTTCTGTGAACCTTCAAGAGACCTTTCTTTTTTTTTTAACCTTTCTCTTTTTAGTGTTTATGAATGAACCAGTACTTCAGTTATTTTAACCCATGGACCTCTTTTTGAACCATATTTTCTCACCAATCTGTGTATGTTTTCTTGTATTCTTTTATTCTTAATCCTCCTTTTCCTTTTACCTTTTAAGTCCTCAGCTATTTTTTGCTCCATTCCTTCAGGAAATTCTCTTTCTTCTACCACCATACTACAGACTGAACCAAGGGTATAGTTAAACCATGTGAAGCCTTACAAGCCACATGTCACAGTTTTTGCCCATTCCTATCAGCTGTGCCTATGAAGGGCTGATTAATCCTCATGAAATTTGGACATTGTTTCCACACAAAGAGAAATTAACAGCTTCTGAATTAGGCCACTTTTATTATTCGTTCAGTTTTTCTATCTCTGGCAAGGAATTTTGGGAGTTACTGCTATTAAAACTGTCTGAAAAGAAACTTGTAATATGTAGCATGCTAAAAACTTTGAATTTTTAAAATGTGTTAACTGTTAAGTTAAATCCCTCTAAAATGATGGAACTTTGTTGTATGTTCTCTTACCTATACTACTACCACTTGTTCCCAAATAACATTTACCAGACAACCTTTGATGGGTTCTGTCCTGAAAGGTAGGAGAATCCATTAATGAAAGCCTGGTACCTCATTTTCTTAATATCAACTGACTTTTTGGTCAGGTAGAAATTTTCCTTATTCCCCATTCCAAATGTCAAATAATTTTCATCTTCCTTATCGAAGTTAATGAAGTAAAACATTTTGAGTATCTGATACTTTTATTCTGCAAGAATTTTTCTTACATTTGTTTCTCAGTAGCCATACCACCTTGTCAGAGTATCAAGTCCAAGGCATCAATCTGCCTTAGCAGATAAGAGGCATAAAGCCACTTGATAAAATTGTGTACGAAGTGTGATATTTTCCAGGTTGAGAGAGAGATTTAAAAATGTCTTCCTAATTGCTGCTTCCGTTTTTTAAATCCCTTTTCCTCAGAAACCCACAATCTGCCAAAGCAACCTCCACTTGCCCTAGCAATGGGACAAGCCACACAATGTCTAGGACTGATGGCTCGATCAGGAATTGGATCTTGTGCATTTGCCACAGTGGAAGACTACCTACATTAGCTATGCATTCAAGAGCTCACTTATATTGTGGCATATAGTCAACATGGAAGTAGAACCAGCTCTGCTGATTTGAAATTTAGATTTTTTAAATTATGTACTGGGGACAGGTTTTTGTCGCTTTACATTGCTTCCTAGTTTACAGCATGATGCAAATGATTTTCTAACTTAGTGTTAGGAGAAAGGAGAAATTATTTTCCATCTTTAACCTCTTAGTTGTCTAAGAGTTAAATATTACTGAATTTCAGACATTCAAATTGATCATCAGAAATCCTTTAAAACAATTATCTAAAAGAAACCAAAAAATCCTGCCTTCTTTGTTGGGGGGGGAGAGGGAAAGGAAATGGAACAAGTTGTGTTTGTGTTAGCATGTGGGTAATGTAAATTTCAAATTGGGAGATGTTCCGACCCCCACTCCCATATAAGCATTCAATCAGTGTAACTTGCAAAATGCATAAACACCCAACAGTTTGAATTTATAGTGTTGATGGAAGAAATCATTTTTAATGTGTACTGTAAAACTTGAAATACTCAGGAGCTGAGTGAATATGTTTGTTGCTACTTACAATCCCGACCCGTTAGTCCCAGTAGTTTTGTTTTAACATGGTCTTTTTCACCTTTGTTTCCTGTTTATCTACAGATGACTTCTGTTGTAGACTCACAAGTTTAACTGTTGTATTATAACAGTATTACATGTCAACAGTGTGGTTATGACCTTTATTTATATAAAAACCAAATATTTAGTCAATTTACTGTGTCTTAATTTAATCTTTGTACACCTTCCATTTTTAAGTGCTTAAATGAGTACTATATTGCAATAAAAATGTAGTGATATAATTAACCAGCCATTAAAAATTTACTTCTACAGATATTAGTGTCAATTTGAGTTTATATATTAGGTGCTTGTATTCTGTGTTTTAATATAAAATTACAGCAATTAATATGGTTATTCTTACTATCAATTGGAATTCTACAACCTAAGACTGCCTTCAGCTGATTATCGGCTTCCCTGGATTAGAGTCAAGCCTGATAAACTGTACAGGAAACAATCATAATAAGGTTCTTGAGACTTAACCAGTCAAGCAAACCCCCAAACTAGTTGAAATATGAAAGGCTGTTTGAGAGATTAACCTGATCCTTTGGTTTGGCAATCTCTAACAAGGTAACCTGCACTTAGGATCTTTTACTGTAATGATGACTTTTTTCATGGTGACTTCTCTTACTCCCCCAGTAAGTAATCTCATCAACAGCACTGGAACACCTGACATGTGTGTTCAGAAATACCTTTCCTGGATGTTCACTCTCTTTTTCCCCTCTGCCCTTCCTGCCACATGGCCTACACCAGGGGATGGAAGAGGTACTGTTACTGTAGTGGGTATTTCCTATGTTCAGCTAAATGGATAAAAAAAAGGAAAACAATTCCTTTTGGACTGCTTTTTCTTCCAGGACTCTCAAATATACTACAGGACACAGTTGTACTCTAGAAAGATGAAATACAGCCAGGTACTTCTCCAAATAGGTTTATAGTTTTTATAATGATTTGTGAACAGTTAGGGTTTTTAGAGAAATTAATCCTCTGTCTTTATTAAATAAATTCTATGCGTACAAAGTACAGATTCTTCGCTCAACTTTAGCTTTGATTTACTTAGTTCTCATCTTTCTGACCATCCACCGCTGCTTAAACCTCTTGGCATTTTGCTTTTTCTGGGTTCCTAGAACAGAAAGTTTTATGTAGAACTATTAAACAAGTATCACAATCCCCAAGAAACATAAAATTCAAAAAAAATGTTTTTTAAGAATCTCTAGTTTATATGAATGGATATGCTAAAACTATGCATTATCTCCTCCAAAAGAACATTCAATGTATGAAATTATCAGAACCTACAAAATAAAGCTAGGTCTTACCCCAAGCATTATTTAAGAACTGAGCTGCAGCCTTTTTCACTGGTAACCTCTTGTTGTCCAGAGACAGGAACTTATTTACTAAAAAACAGAATTACTTATCATTCTTTGTTTTCTTTGCAGTAAAAAACTGAAATAGTCCATAATAAAATTACCAGTAGTTCTGTTGGTTCCTGGACCATACAAAGAATTATGTATGAAGGCTTTGGCTGCTTGCTGCCTTGCATCTCTCAGATCTTGGTCTTTCAGCCTTAGTGCCAAGTAGCTTTTGTCCCGGCTGGTAATCAATACAAAAGGTCCAAATAAATGAGGGTAATACATGCCTGCTTTCATATACAACTTTTACTTTTCACTAATTTTTTTTTTTTTAACCCAGGGCCACCCTTTCTTCCTTCCCTTTTTTTTTTTTTTGGTTGTTTGTTGTGCTAGGGATCAAATCCTGAGCAACAACTCTCAACCCCTTACACTAACTGAAATAAAGTCTTTTTTCCTTGACCTCATACACAGTGGCTTAAAAAAATTAAATATATATATATATATATACACACACACACACACATACATAATGAGCACAACTAAATCACATGATTTTACAAGAAATAGTATATTCAAATTTAGCAGTAGGTAAGTATATTCTTACTACTTATCAAAACTGAACTTTCTCTACAGAGAAGTCAATCTGAAATGCTACTAAATTTTCTCATATAAGCCAAAACTTTTAACTCTCAAAAGGTCATCTTAACATCCCATGTAGGTTTAAAAAAAAAAAAAATCACCTGACAGATTGTACTTTCTTTACTTTAACTTTCTTGGTCGTGTTTCCTTTTTCACATTCTTCATTTTTCTTTTCCAAATTAACTAAAAAATTAAGTTCCATTTTGCAATCAGTATTTATATAAAATCAAAAACATTTACTGGAGTTCAATTTAAATATCCACTATACACCAATCTGGATGTAAATTTTATTTATAAGAAACATGGGACACAGGTCAAGCTGAACTTACCCAGGTCTATGGACTTATCTCTCCCTGAGGAGAAATGGAAAATACCTACAAATATGCATCACATTACATGAGAACTATTTAAATGAGAACAGTTCATACCTTTCAGCTTTTCTGGCAATTTCTTTATGCTAAGGAAAAAACAAAAACATTGATTTGAATGACTGCAAAGAGTACTTAAACATGTTACATAATTCATGTGTGTTTTTTTAAGATTCTCACACACATCCTTTTCATTACCATCATTGTCTTTTTTTTTTTTTTTTTACTCAGGATCTTTTATTAGTTTGGGAGCAAAAGTTACTCCCTAATGCAGTGCCAACCAACTCCCAATCACATTACCAGATAAGGAGTGTCTTCCTCAGAATGTAAGTCTGACAGCATACTAGAAAGGTTCCAAAGAAGAATTTTTAACAGAGTTAAAAATTAAAGACCTAAGAATTACAGATTTCAGTATTCAAAATAAGAAGTAAAAGAAGTATCACACTTGGAAAAGTCACAAAGGATTAATTCAAGAGTTTAGGCACAGGAAGCAAGGATCAATCTCAAGAGACAAATGTCAACTAACAAAATACAGCGTGAGGATACAAAATACAATACAAAAGCACCTGCACAAAACAGCCATAGGGCTGGCAGTATGACTCAAGTGTAGAGCACCTGCTTAGCAAGTTCAAACACAGGTACTGAAAAAAAAAAAAAAAGGAGGTGGGGAGGGTATGAGGAAGAGAGTAGAAAGGAGTTTTGAAAGATGAAAGGGACTTCACCACCAAACAGATCTGTTTGTAGGCATAATGTATTCTAGATCTGAATAATTCTTGAAAATTTTGAGAATCGCTAGCCTAGGAAAAAGGGGGCTAAGTGTCTGAACTTAGAAAGCACTAAGGGGAGCCAATGGTGATAGAAAAAGACCTCACATATTTAAATTCAGTCGGGTCTGACGAATTTCATGGGATAAAGGAGGAAAATTCCAGCTTTTGGCTTTAAACAGAGTGGGTGGGAAAGTAAATAAGATGGAGAAAAGATGAAAAATTGGTGGCAGGTAAGTATAAGAAAATTATTCACCACCATCTACCAAATATAACAGGTGCTCAATCAAATTTACTGAATGAACACCGGGATCAGGAACTCGGACACAAAGAATTTAAAAAATTGAAAAGGCAAATGGATATTTACCTCCATTTTTCCTCACTAAACTTAAATACCACTGTGTAGCTTTTAAATTTAGGCTCCAAAATTCTTCCAATTATATGGACCCAAACAAACGTTTGTACCAGTCTGCAATTCAAAGGTAGTTTATGTAAGCAAGTAATACGATCCATTACTTACTCAGTCTGTGAAGCTGTAGTTAACTGCTCTAAAACAGTATCTGGAAGGAGTTTTCTTTTCTTTTGGAATAAAAACATTTAAGAGTAAGTTAAAAGCCATGAAATGCACCTGCAAGTTTCAGAGTTTAAGGACAGTTCTACATCTAGGCAAATAAATTAGACTAAACGCTGCCTCCACTGCCCGACAGCAGACAGCGAATTAGTCACGCCCTGTTTGCACAGCTCTTATTTTATAAATCACCCAATTCTCACAACGACGTAGTATCAGATTTGGGAAAAAAGAAAAAAAAAAAAGACCAAACTGCCTCTGCGAGCCTAAATGGCTCAGTGACAGAAGTCTCAGCTGAGTGCTGAGATGCCAACTCCCAGATGTCCAGTTCTCAACTCTCCCACTTTCACTGGTCGGTGGTCACAAGCATTACTGACCTCTCCCCTCTCCGGTATCCCACCAGCCCTAAGTGTCGAACACGGCGATTCTACCGTCTAACCTTTTGTTCTACGAACAGCTCCTCGCGTCGCTTCCTCTTCTCCTTCAGGAGCGTTTTGTCCCTGGGAGAAAGGGTGACAAGTCAGAGCGGGAGAGGGGGCCGCGGGCGGGGAGGGACGGGTCTCCCGTCCAGCCGCGGGCTCCGAACCTGCGCACGGTCTCCCGCACTCGCCGCTCCTCCTCTCTCGCTTCCGCCTGGGCGCTGGCGAAAGTCAGCTCCTCCGGAGCCTCGTCGTCAGACTCCTCGTCCCCTTCCTCGTCTTCCTCCAGGGGCTCGGCGGCAGCGCCGCTGCTGGGCTGCCCAAGCAGCACGCCGTGCTCCGCCTCCTCTTCTGAGGCCGGCTGGCCCTCATCCACCATTGCCTCCGCTGATGCGGGAATACGGGACGCGCGTGGTCTTAGCTGCACCATGGCCCACACCAGGCTGGACGGTCTGACCTCTAACCCGGAAGTAGCCACGAGCGGAGCGTGACGTGAAACAACCAGCGACATAGGCCTTCCGCGCCCCCTGCAGGCTCGGAGGCCTCGTGCGCAGCGCGAAGAGGGCGTGGCCTAGGCACCGCCTGGCGGGTCCGTCTCGCCCACTCCCTGAGACCGCTAGGGAAGGTGCATTGGAGCCTAGGGGTGCCGCGCTGAGCAGTCTGCGGAAGGGGTGGCGGCTCACGTGGCTCGTTCCCAAGTGGGGAAGGGGTGTCGCGTTGCCCTCTTGGATAGGATGCCGTCCAGCTCCCAGACACCCGCCAACCGCAGGTCCCAGCCGCCGGGCCGTCGCCAGGCACCAGGTCCACCCCGTTCGCTGTATTTGTGGGTTCGGCTGCATTCACTCCACACTCTCCAAGAAGTGGGGTTTCACGGGCTCTGGATTCCTCGCTGTCACCAACCCGAATGCTTACTGTCTGGTTCCCCGGTGAGAACCGAAGTATGTTTTCCGGCATGCGTGGCCTAGTAATCTCTTCATCTTCTCTCACCCATTATACAATACTAAATGATTCATCATTTTTATAACAAATCAGGCTGTTCACACTTGCCATGCATTTGCACATGCTGTCCCCTTTGCTGACATGCACTCACTCCCCCATGTAGAGCCAGTGATACCTCAAAATCTCCACCCTGTTACCTACTTCTTCAAGCACCTCAGCATCTGCCCCATTGCCAGTTTGTGCATTTCTAATTACACTCTTCTCTGAAGCTTGCACAAATTTCTATCACTGTGGCTTCCATGCCATAGACTAGCCTACATGGTGGTTGTTCCATTCTGTAAACTTGAGGTGCGGTCCAGGCCTTACTAATCATTTTATTTCCGACGACTATCATACCGCCAACGTTCAGTGAACACTCCATTGAATTGAGTGATTCTATCTCATATATATTTGTATTTCCAATTCTCCTTTCATCCCTTCTAATGTAGAAGCAGTTTCCAATTTCAAAACAATGAAGCCAAATATGAACAAAGACGACAGAATACAAGAATGAACACAACTGTTGATGGGGAGGTAGAACCTCTGAAACCTCTGAATCTGGACCAGGTAGAAAATTATAAATCCCTGTGACTGTGTGCTGACTCTCACAATTGCTAACACTGGGAAAATATGTAAAGTGAGGTTAGAGAAGCCCAGATACAAGTTATTAAGAATGCATTCTGGGGCCTGGACATGGTGATGCTGCCTCTAATCCCAGCTATTTGGGAGGTAGAAGCAGGAGCAGGAGATTTTATCTGAACAACAAACTAAAAGCAAATGGTTAGGGGGCGTGGAGGCCTCAAAGAGGCCTTCAATTCAATCCCTAGTACATGATGGTACTGTATGTGCAAAACCTGCCTTGTAAGGACTAAAGAAGCTTATTTCCAGTATTCCCAGTCCCCTTGGTGTACAGCCTTGACCCACCCACCTAATGTGTGAATCAAGACCTTAGGGCACCTGGGTGGTCTTCAGGCTCACCACAGATTATGACCATCCTTACCCACACAAAGGGCATTTGGGATTAATTCAAAGTTATTACTTTCATATGCAGTACACAGTTGCATATGGCAATGTCTTATCTATTTCTATAAAAGCCAAGGGTGTACATGGAAGTCCAGGAAATCATCAGAGACTACTTCGAGAACCTATATTCAAATAAATTTGAAAATCTTGAAGAAATGGACAGATTTCTAGATACTTATGATCATCCAAAACTGAACCAAGAAGACATTAATCATCTGAATAGATCTATAACACAAAATGAAACTGAAGCACAATCAAGAGTCTCCCAAAAAAGAAAAGTCCAGGACCTGATGGATTCTCTGCTGAATTCTATCAGACCTTTAAAGAAGAATTCTATCAGAATCCTGCCTTAAACAGTTTCACGAAATAGAAAGGGAAGGAAAACTGCCTAATACATTTTATGAAGCCAGTATTACACTTATCCCAAAACCAGGCAAAGACATCTCCAAAAAGGAGAACTATAGGCCAATCTCCTTAATGAACATTGATGCAAAAATCCTCAACAAAATAATGGCAAACCGAACTCAACAACACATCAAAAAGATTATTCATACCACGACCAAGTAGGCTTCATCCCAGGAATGCAGGGGTGGTTCAACATACGAAAATCAATAAACGTAATAAACCACATTAACAGAAGCAAAGACAAAAACCACTTGATCATCTCAATAGATGCAGAAAAAGCCTTTGATAAGATCCAACATCATTTCATGATAAAAGCTCTAAGAAAACTAGGAATAGAAGGAAAGTTCCTCAACATTATAAAAGCTATATATGACAAACCTACAGCCAGCATTATACTTAACGGAGAAAAACTGAAACCATTCCCTCTAAAATCAGGAACTAGACAAGGATGCCCACTATCTCCACTCCTATTCAACATAGTACTGGAATTCCTAGCCAGAGCAATTAGGCAAGAAGAAGGAATAAAAGAATACAAATAGGTAAAGGAACTGTCAAAATATCCCTATTTGCAGACAATATGATCCTATACCTTAAAGACCCAAAAAACTACTCAAAAGCTCCTAGACACCATCAGTAGCTACAGCAAGGTAGCAGGATATAAAATCAACATAGAAAAATCATTAGCATTTCTATACACTAATAATGAACAAACTGAAAAAGAAAACAAGAAAACAATTCCATTTACAATAGCCTCAAAAAAAGTAAAATACCTAGGTGTAAACCTAACAAAGGATGTGAACGATCTCTACAAGGAGGTGATATAAACTTCTGAAGAAAGAGATTGAGGAAGACTATAGAAAGTGGAGAGATCTCCCATGCTCATGGGTTGGTAGAATCAACATAATAAAAATGGCTATACGCCCAAAAGCAATCTACATGCTTAATGCAATTCCCATCAAAATCCCAATGACATTCATTAAAGAGATTGAAAATCTACCATTAAATTTATTTGGAAACACAAGAGACCACGAATAGCCAAGGCAATACTCAGTCAAAAGAACAATGCTGGAGGCATCACGATACCTGACTTTAAACTATATTACAAAGCAATAGCAATAAAAACAGCATGGTACTGGCACAAAAACAGACATGAAGACCAGTGGAACAGAATAGAGGACCCGGATATGAAGCCACACAACTATAACCAACTTATCTTTGAAAAAGGCACTAAAAATATATAATGGAGAAAAGACAGCCTCTTCAACAAAAATTGCTGGGAAAACTGGTTAGCAGTCTGCAAAAAACTGAAACTAGATCCATGTATATCACCCTATACCAATATTAACTCAAAATGGATCAAGGATCTTAATATCAGACCCCAAACTCTAAAGTTGATACAGGAAAGAGTAGGTAATACTCTGGAATTAATAAGTATAGGCAAGGACTTTCTCAATGGAACCCCAGCAGCTCAGCAACTAAGAGATAGCATAGACAAATGGGACTTCATAAAACTAGAAAGCTTCTGCTCAACAAAAGAAATGATCTCTAAACTAAAGAGACTACCCTCAGAGTGGGAGAAAATATTTGCCAGCTACACATCAGACAAAGGACTGATAACTAGAATATATAGGGAACTCAAAAAACTAAACTCTCCCAAAATTAATGTACCAATAAAGAAACAGGCAAGTGAACTAAACAACTTTCTCAAAAGAAGAAATTCAAATGGCCAAAAACACATGAAAAAATGCTCACCATCTCTAGCCATTAAGGAAATGCAAATCAAAACCACACCAAGATTCCACCTCACCCCTGTTAGAATAGCCATCATCAAAAACACCACCACCAACAGGTGTTGGCAAGGATGCGGGGGGAAAAGGAACCCTCTTACACTGCTGGTGGGAATGCAAACTAGCACAACCACTCTGGAAAAAAATTTGGAGACTTCTTAAAAATCTAAACACAGATCTGCCATATGATCCAGCAATACCACTCTTGGGGATATACCCAAAAGACTGTGACACAGGTTACTCCAGAGGCACCTGCACATCCATGTTTATTGCAGCACTATTCACAATAGCCAAGTTATGGAAACAGCCAAGATGCCCCACTATTGACGAATGGATTAAGAAAATGTGGTATTTATACACAACGGAATTTTACTCAGCCATGAAGAAGAATGAAATGTTATCATTCGCTGGTAAATGGATGGAATTAGAGAACATCATTCTGAGTGAGGTTAGCCTGGCCCAAAAGACCAAAAATCGTATGTTTCCCTCAC